AGAAGTAGTTAAATGTGTGTGGGCGTGTCTGTGTTGGTATCACCCTGCCCTTGGATGTCCTTTCTGCTTCTTGTTGCACGGCTGTGACAGGATGATGCAGCATAGTTCGACGGCTCAAACCGGTCATGCAGTACTACAGAGCTGCTCGGTCGTGTGTCTGTGTGTGCGCTGTGGTGGCATGTGTGGTGGCTGTGAGTAGTGTGTTGTGGCGGAGGCGGCGGCGGCGGTGGGGGTGATGGTGGTGCTGGGTGGTGCTGGGTGGTGCTGGGTGGTGGTGGGTGGTGGTGGGTGGTGGGTGGTGGTGGGTGGTGGTGGGTGGTGGTGGGTGGTGGTGAGTGGTGGTGGGTGGTGGTGGGTGGTGGTGGGTGGTGGTGGGTGGTGGTGGGTGGTGGTGGGCGATGGTGGGCGGTGAGCAGCGAGAGGGAGTATTCCTCGATGGAAAGTATAAGCCGTTCAGAGTAGTGGAGCTACGTCGCACTGTCGAACTGCGCTTTATTGTGGAGAGCAGTGTTGAGCGGTGTTGAGTCGTGAGCCAGGTGATGTTGTGAGTGTGATAAGCAGTACAGGTGGGTGGTGGTGAGTAGTTGTGGGTAGCTGTGAGTAGTGGTAAATAGTGGTGAGCAGGGGTCAATAGCCACTGTTCCATTCACGTAACTCTGCGTAAACGCCCACTGTGCAGGGGGATGCCCATGTGATCAATGCAAACCCTGATCCCACTGATCTACTGGCTAAACACAGACACACAGTAACCAGATATCAAGAGTTGCATCTTTAGTGACCAATATGTGCGGCATTGCCAAGGAATGGACGGGCAAAGGTCCTGATTGTAGCGACACACTTGCAAACACTCACATACACACATAATTAGGGTCCGAATAAGCTGTCACAAGCTCTCCGCCATGGCTAGGATCAACTGCCCGCCCCTTTCGCAGGGATTGCCAAAGCCCCTTCAAGCATGCCCGTGTTGAGAGGTCCAACTGAAAAATGTCACACAGTCGGAAGACAGGGATTAGGCTTTCTGTATTCATCTCCGCATCAGTAAAAGTTCTTTCATGCAATGTCTTTGCCCACAACGTCAGAGCTCCCTGGGCCAGGCTGCCTCTGGCTTGGTGGAGCTGCGGTCCACATCAGTGGAGGTCATGCGGACGTAGCGGTTCCTCAGCAATGGCAGTCCAAGCCCTTGGCAGCTGGCAAGTGCGATGGAACATATTGCAATTGCAGTGAAATCCAACTTGATGCAGCTTCAAGAAGATCAACTCTGCCGAGGCCGCGAAAACCCATAAGAGAAGTGCGCAGCAGCACATGCATGTTTCGATATAGATAGATATATATATATATATATATACATATATATATATATATACACATACAAATGCTTTTCACTAACCCAGCGACTCACCTTAATAGCAATAGCAACTCTCCCGCAACTATGGCAGTTCTTGTTGCACGGCGTATTTCGAATTGATACAATATAGTAATGGACACGTTACTTGCTATAGCAATTGGTCCTGCCTTTTCCTGGACATCACCGGAACAGCAAACCGGCCCAGCACCGCAAGGTGAAGGCAGGGTCAGGGACTGTATCAGCCGGGTTTGGGGGGGGGGTCCGCGGTCTTCTGGGGCCATACCATTGAGGGGTTGAAGGGCTGAGCATGACGGACTGCGAAATAAAATGTACACATTTACATACACACTACAACAACCCGATACTAGTGCGGTACAGGTACAGGACTTTGAACCATAAACAGCAACAGCCACATCATGTAACTAGTGTACATCCGTGAGTCAAGAAGATATACTGTGCTGCTTGCTTCTGTCCCGTGGTGCGTCAGTCGGAATGAAGCCTTTTTCCCAGATCTGCCCGGCAATAAAGTGAAACTTACGCAAAATGCTCAAAACTTGGCACGATTCATGTTACGTACACATGCGGCTAGATGCGGGAGGCAGAATCGGGTGTTGCTTTAATAGCTTCGTTTCCAAACTCGAGTTTTCAAAGTCGTTAATCGGCATCATTGATTGATTGATTGATTGATTGATTGATTGATTGATTGATTGATTGAGTGAGTGAGTGAGTGAGTGAGTGAGTGAGTGAGTGAGTGAGTGAGTGAGTGCTTTATTGGTTGGTTGGTTGATTGATTGATAGATTGATGAATTGATAGATTAGATTAGATTGGAGTAGATTAGACTAGATTGGTTTGGATAGATAGATAGATTGATTGATAGATACTTGACTTGACTTGACTTGACTTGCCTTGACTTGACTTGACTTGACTTGACGTGACGTGACTTGACTTGACTTGATAGATAGATAGATAGATAGATAGATAGATAGATAGATAGATAGATAGATAGATAGCCATATACACACATTGTACTGAACATCTATATATAAGGTGTTCTATCATGTATGTCAAGTACACGTAACACGAGTGACACTGCCATGCATGCTGATTGATCTCACTGCAGTTACGACCGTTACCTGGCACTCTTCATCCAATAGTGTTGGACGCATGTCTACGTAAAAAAAAAAAAAAAAGGAAAATACGACGGGCTGCCAAGGTGCTTGCACTTGCCCCAAACTCTAGCCACGCCGACAAATTTGACAATTTAGATCAATTTGTAGTCCCTCAGCATAGTTGTGGTGGCTGCGGCAAAGCGCTGAGCAGCGACCGAATCTCATTGAAGTTGAGTTCTAGTTGGATTGTCATAAAGCTTGTCCTGGGCTTTGTTCTATAAAAGCCTCAATTCAGAAGATAGAACTGAGGGTTTCTGGACGCTGCTCAGCCTTCTTCATCTTGGGAGGATATTGCTCTGCAGGAATCCCTCCCAAAGGCAGCATTGTGAAATGCCTTCTTGGCGAAATGACGTGCGGCTCCCGCGCTGCTTGGTACCGTTCCAAGTGAGTTGATTCTGGAAGGCTTCAGGTAGTACTAGGTAGCAGGTTGGCTTGGTGCGGCTCGGTTTGGGTCGGATTGAGTTGGTTTCAATTGACTTTGGAAGCCGAGAAGCCTAAATGCCACAAACCGAAAAGCCAAGGAGTGAATTGCTCTAATCAACAAATGCTTGCTTGTTTCAGAAAGCCAACTGCCATTCATCTTGCTAGCAAGAGGGGGTTCCCCTGTTGAGGGGCAGCTGAAAGCCCGGGCAAGCAACTTGTGCCAAGACGCTGCTCATCATTGTGCAAGGCAATGGTGCCCCCAACCATCATGGACTGGCGATGAAATTCTGGAGATGAGGCTTCCAGCCAGCTGCAAGCTCAACTTCGCTGCCCAGAAACGCCATGCTTATACTTATACCCGCGTTGCACAAACCGGCGCGGAATTGCAAACAGGACCTTTCCAAAGGGGTCTGTTCAGATGCGTTTTCTTGTTCGGGAAAGCATCATCGTACGAGAATGTCCACCTCCAATGTGTGCACTGTGGCAGAGCAACCGCCTTGTGAGAAGGGTTGAGTTTCAACCGCTGACAGGTCGTGCCTGGCAGTAGCCACTCTTCAGGATGTAGCCGGGGTTGCAGCTGCCGCAGTGCCCGTCCATCTCAGCACCAAGGAGCATGCGCGGTCAATCCCTCTGCGCAACTGTGCAATATCCACAGAACAATGGCAGCAAAATAAGGCTTCATGGTTTGAGCAAGGTCGCTCTCTTGAGTTCCACTGACGAGAAACTACCCAACTAGCCTGGATGATAGGGACATCCCGAAAGTAATTCCCTCCCCCTCAAGTCCGCCAGTGCGAGGCTTCAATGAGAGAAGCACCCAAGTCGAACACCAGAGAGCAACATCTTTATGTGAACTCGCTTGTGCCAACGCCAATGGAAAGTAAGCTGCTTCAAGCCGCTCGCCTACCCCTTTGCAGGCTGTGGAATGCAATGGGCCAGCCTGAGGGAGCCTTGGCACTGTGCTCGTTCCTATCCTGGCCTGCAAACCTGGTCTTTTCTCAGTCGCTGCTTGTCGGACATTGCCTTGCATCTGACAATGGGTGGAAAAGATCACTTTTACACACACCAGAAACAAAGTCTGCCTCTGCCTTGACCCAATAAATATATTTAAGCTTGTGGGTCGAAGGCCACTCCTAAGGACGACCAAGCCCATCAACACCCAAGGCCCCACCCTCTTGCAGCCGAGGCTACAGTGCGGTCGCTGAGTGACTTGCAGCTCTTGCACAAGTTGCCCTTGCCGGTCTGACAGGTGAAGGCCTCAAGCTGTAACCCCCTGGGCCGGAGACTGCCTATGAATCCAACCTGTCCACGTTCCAAGGGAAGGGCTAGTGTGGACTCATCATCGAGACACAAAACAAACCGAATAAGACCGAATAAGACCAACAACAAATGAAAGTGTGTGTGTGTGTGGTGTTGACCAAACAAGAATGGAACCAAGCTTGTTGAGAGCGTATCCTGAACCTCACATATGCGAAATGAGACGGCCCCCAACCGCCAAGCATCCTGTGACGTCCAGACGCGGGCAAAACACCACCAACCACAACGAGGGGCCTCTAAAACGAATGCTAAGCGCAAACACATGCTTAACAACACCTGGAGAGAGGAACATCTATGACTATCACAAGCACTGACTTAGCGGTGCAGGCTTGCGACCTTCTGGAATTCGTACAGGGCTGGATAGGATGACCTCAAGCCCATCCCCGTTGATTTATTGACCAACTATGAGTTCCTGTAGATGGCCTTGATTTCAGAAGTGAGTTCGCATATTGCATGCGTTGATCAGTACGCATTAGCAACAGAACACGGGCGCCGCCAAGACGGAGGCCACGATAGCAAGACTGGTGTACTTAAAAAAAATTGGCAAGCACGACAACCTAGCTTGTGTCTGCTAGGTGTCTGATGCTTGGCCGTCGCACGATCACACATTGAGTTTGGCATGTCGGCTGCGTAATCAAACAATTCAAAGAACCAGCAGTGGGGCTTTGAAGCAATGCGTCCAAATTGCGGGCTGTTTATGTGACGATGGCTGTCTTTAGCTTCTGCAGCTGTCTGCTATTGCAGCTGGGGGTTGGCGAAAAGTGAATAGATGAAACTCTCCTGGGGTATTCACCCAGCCAGCACGCCTCGCATGTGTCCGCATAGAGCGAATGGCCACTGGGGCAGGATGCGCAGTGGTTGTCCATCTGCGGAGGCAAGCAGTTAACACCAGGTGCCAGCACTTCCCAAGCGACTTTGAGATTTTGCCATCACGGCATTCCCAGCCTTCACGGCATCAATCGCAGAAAAAATAACTAATCTATAGAAATGGAGTGATCCTATCAACTGTCTTTCTGCCGCTCCATGTCAGGCAATCTTGCCAAAATGAAAATCAACTTTCAAATTTCTGCTGAGAGCTCCCAACCATGGCAAATACCTTGAAACGCCATTCCACCTTGCTCATATGTTAGTCTCGTGCCTCCAGTGCTTCCAGGTTGGGAGATGTGCATTCCAGAATGGAAAAAATAAGATGCCCCTGAAACTTTGCTGACCAAAGCGCACGATTACAGTACTCAACTGATTTGCAAAACCTGCTAGTACAACATGCTGTCATGGCACAGCCGTGACCTGAGACTTCTGGTTTACATTCAATCACTCATGGCACCCACATGGTAACAGGGCAAATGCCTTGCGCGTGCATTTGGTGAACCCCCCTGCAATGTTCTTCTCAATCAACGCGGGGCAGTAAAAGAAATATTGAAGGGGCATCTTGTCACTGCCTGCAAGGAACTGAACTCAATGAGTCGAGCTTGAAATGATGGTGGATTCGGGCGTCTCAAAAAGGTAATGCGGGTGGCGTGGAGTGGCGAGGAGTCGGGTGCAATGCAGACGAGCACTAGCTAAATCAAGCTAGGTGCATGCAAGTGACCCCATGCCCACCAGTGCCATCAGACCCAACCCTAAATTCGGCTAGCAACACAACAAAACCAACCAAACCAGCAAACACGACCAACGCGACCAACACGACCAGCACGACCAACGCGATGCGCCAAAAAGAGCAAACACAACCCGACCAACACACCGAAAGGCCCCTACACAACCCGAACAAAGTGACCAAACCAGCAAACACGACCAACGCTATCAACACGACCCGCGACAAAACAGAGCAGCACGCTCAAACTGATGAAGCGGGGATATGATGAACGGGAACGGACATCAACTACGAAGGGATAGAAGCGGGAGGGCAAGAGAAAGAACACAATTATGCAAAATTGGATGCACTTGGACGAGGAATGGACGGGGGAGGAGCCCTCACGAGGATGGGGTCGGAATGAAGACGTCTCACCCCGGCAACATCAAACTCAGCTTAAACCTGGCACGCACCCAGCAGAGCCTGCTACAGCTTCGGGCTCGTCCTACCACACATTCTAGGAAAGGTGACAAGGGAGTTGGAGGGGTGCGGGGGGGGGGGGGGAATGGGCAGGGAGCGAACAGGAATGGACAGAGACGTCAGAACAGGTGGGCAGTCTGAATGGACAGGGAATGCAGAAGTGGCAATGGGTTGACCGGAATTGGCGGAAATGGACGGGGTGGGCAAAGGAACAGGTGGAAGTGGAAGATGGACAGCGGACAAGATCAGATTGGCAAGGAAGGTGAACCGGAAAGGTGGCACCCGAAGCCCACCCTGAAGAAACTCTAAACCAACCATAAGCCAACCCCAAACCAACTCCAAAACAACCCGAAACCCAACCCAAAACCGGAAACCGACACTACACCCTAAACACACCCTTCTCTACACCTAGCCTGAACCATAAACCAACCCTCCAGACCACGCTACGCCCAGCACAAACCCACCTTAAACTGATCCTAAACCAGACCTCAAACCACCAAAAAAAAACTAAACCGAGCCTAAACCCACGCTAGAACCCACTCTAGACAAACCGGGAAACACGAAGGGTCGGGAATGGACGGCAATGGAAATGGATGGGAACGGACAGGAGACGGGAATGGACAGGGGGCCCGGGAAGTCGCGAGCACTGACAAGGCCTTTGATGGAAAACCTTGCGTGTGTAGGACTTGCGCATGCTTGTCCAAAGCTCCAAAGCTACTTCTACTTGATTCTACTTGATATCAAAGTAGAGCTTTCTTCTACAGCCCTTCACCCGTCGCACACTCGCACCTGGCGCTCGCCGGCAGGCTTGCAGGTCTTGCAAATCGTTGTATCGCACATGAAGACCTGGCAGGCGTCCATCGCTTGGCCCAGTTCAACATCCTGTTTCTAGAATGCAAGTGCGGGACAATGCACAAATCTCATCACAAATGTCATCCTGAGGAAACGGGTCGATTCCACCTGTAACACCGCACGCACATATCAGGACGTCAAACTACATGAGACGCCGGTGATTTTCTCCCCTGGCTTTAAAAAAAACCTTGGCTAGTACCCCTGATTGGGCCCCAATGCCAACGCATTGGACCTGCACAGGAAAAGCAAATCCTGGCTAAGCCCAGGCAGGTCTCCGCTTTTGTGAACCGTCCCTCCTCTTTGCGGTGAAGCCTTGACAACCTCCATCCTCTCGTTGGTCCAGCCACTGGGCAACTCGTCGCCGTCCTGAAAAGCGGCAAAGTGGCAAATAGAATGAGACATTGCGAGGGGTGGAACTTCCTTTGAGAGATCCCCCCAGTCGGCCGGCCAGGGCAGCCACAAACGCTTGAAAGCAAGCGGCTGTGCAAGCATGCAGTCCCGGCAGTCGTTCTGATGTCAACTCGGGCCCAATCAACAAGCAATCAGACACAAATATGCGCCTGGTTGTGCTCGGTGTGTTCTGGTGTGCTTGATGCTATGTTGCAGTTTCATGTGATGTCGTTGTCTTGGAGGGAACTTGAATGAACCAATTGACCCTCGTTCCAATTTCAGCCAAAATGTCGATTCAACAGCATATAATTTCATCAACAACTAAGAATGCCGTGAAATCGTTTAGCATGGGTTCATGTGCATCTCGTCACAGACAGCAAAAAACATTTCTAGAATGACCGGGCCAAGAGTTCGCCCTCAATGTGATGTTGGACAAGTTTAATGTGCCGCGGGATTGCTTAGCATTGCTGAACCGTTCCAGCTTCAGCTTGCATTGGAAGTGCATGGCTGTAGAATGTAGTGTGTCGCCGTTGGAAGTTGACCTTTGCCTACGTAAGACCCGTAGAACCAGATGGACAAGATGGGTTCCATTGGGTTTTGCATTTGTTGCATGATCAGCAAGGTGCGTTTCATGCCACTGCCGTGCTTCAGCATTAGCCCTTGCCACCTTGCTTTGCCTTCCTGCAAAGGCAGGGGGGCTTGCTGCGCTTCATGTTTTTCTTTGCTTGGCACATTGTTCGTTGCTTCCACTTTTCCCATCATAAAATATGGCTGAAGCGAAGTCCGTGGGCGTCTATCCAGCGAAACTCAAACGGTTTCAGGGAGATTAACAGTCCGTCCTAAACAGTTCGGTCATTGTAACGCTGGCATTCTGACATTCCCCTACCCTACCCATTCTGACTCCTTCACCCCGCTGCGGTACGTGTTGCCGTTTGAGTCCACGGCAATGAAGCCTGAGCGCAGCCAGCAACACGAGGTGGCAGGGTTAGCACTGCATTCGGCACTGACGAGGCGAACGCAAAATCATCAGCTGGTACATTTGAGGGTGTGCAACCCGAGGAGCAGCAAACCTGAAAGGACTAACTAGACTGCACGAGCAGCAACATTAATCTCACACTGTATTTGCGGAGAATCTACACGGGTATTTCACTTCAGGTACTGTCACAGTACCTTTTGGCACAGTACCAGCTTCAACAAAATTCAGACAAAACATTCAAGGCAAAGGATGTAAAACATGCCGGCCACTACACCTCAGACACTCCATACCACTTGGTACAAGAAACATTGGGCACCTTACAAGGTTTCTCAAACCTCAGCTTGACGAACACACACTTGGGAAAGCTTCACGACATGGGAGTTCCAACTCGCCAAGAACGAACAAGACACCAACATGCCACTACAAGATGATGTTAATCGCAACAGGAAACATCACAACATGCGAGCAGATCAGATCCGTGGTGATTGAATATCACAGGGCAGCATCATGCTTCACCAAGCTACAAGCGCTCGCATCAAGAGCCAGAAGGATCAGCACCAATGGACATAATGTGACATAGGAGCAACATGATACAACAAAGGCGAGGGCAAGACAGCCGTGCGGCAACACATGTTTGTCCACTATGGTTTGCAACATGATACCCCCCTAATGCAACTTGAGCAAGAAAAAGGACAACACCTGAGTACAGTGACCAACCAACTAATCAAACTTTAGGGGTATAAATCAGCGACAACTGCAACACTGCCGGTTGACACATTGCTAACACCCACCACTGGCAAGAGACCCAGACAGGGCTAGGAAGCACGTGCCACACAGTACATCTTGCTTGCGCGTGAGTCGGTCACCAACGAGGGACACCGTTGTACAGCTGCAAACATCATGGTAAGACCCCTCAGCACACATCCCACAAGTACAGATTCGAAGTGTATACCAGTCGCGTACAATTTGAGCAGGGGTGTTAAGAGTCAAGAACACGTCTACAGTTGTCTTGACATCCTGCAATCCATGTACATCAAGGCCTTGAGCCTGATACAGTTTGCCCACAGCAAAATGGTGCTAAAAGCCGAGCTGGTCACTACAAAAGGAATCCGTGTGTTCTGCTGATTCGACAAATATGATGTGGGCAATCCACTGCCAGGATGCTTTATGGCGCGCTTAACCGGGTATGGAAGGAAATGGGCTTGGTTGGGTTTACTTCCCCTTACGATCCAAATTTGAGACTCATGGCAGCCGCATCCATGGGTTGGTCACAAAAGACGCTACTGCCACGCTGTCACCAAGCGGGAGACTGAGGGCGTGAGGTTCTGGAACCAGGAAAGCAAACAATATCATGTCCGAAACAATATGAAGAGCTCAGTCGGACAACCAGCAAATGGCAAAAAAATCCGCCGACGCCAGTCGAGCGTGTAAATTGCAGTCCGCAAGTTGGTCTTCCTTCAAAATGTCTTATCAAAACCGAAAACTGTCGAAACTACTACTGTATTTTTCCAGTGTTTCTGGGTCTTGCGTGCTAAAAATCTGCGTTTCCCAAACACAGAAAACACCAGAGATGTCGGGAATGCTGGGAATGCAGCCGGCTAGCCCCAAAAAGTGCAAAACAAACCAGGGTTTTTCAATATTTCCCAAAATCAACCATCAAAAACATATTCTAGCAACCCCCATAAAAATAGACTTCCAAACGCACGATAATGCAGGGAATGTTTCGCAGTAACTGCTCCGTACAGGTGGGGAATTGCAAAAAACGCTCATGTTTGCAAATTTCAACAGTTTCCCACCCAAACCCCTAACAGGCCAATTTCAAGATCGCTTGAAACAGCAAAACACCACTAGTATCTGCGGAAAAAAAAAGAACTTCATGGCAACAGGATAATCCTGATGATGCTGGGGATGCAGATCCTGCGCGTCCGGGGGAAACCCCCCACCCCCCCCCCCCCAATTGAGACCTAGGCTCAATTTTGCGTGTCTGAAAGTTTTAAAATATTGGATGCAAAGATTGGGTGTGTTTTGTATGTTGCCAGCATCTGGGACATCCCAGTTTATTAATAGGCTGGGGACTGTCCACTGGCGTCGGCGGATCGCGTAGCGATTTCAATAAAACGTTGATGGTCGGCCGCGCCACGGTTATGATATGCGTTGTGCAGCGCGATCCGGCCGGATTCAGCCGCCACCACGGTCCATCTTGCCTGGCAACAAACACAGAGAAGCAAAGGGAAAATCAAATAACCAGGGAGTAGTATCGCCAGTGCAGGAATTCTGAAACAAGTGGACAAACAATGAAAGAATCCAATCACGGCCTCCAAACTGAATCAGAGACCTTGCTTGACTGGGCTTTACGTCCGGCAAAAACGAGACCTGAGACTAGTCTGGGCGATTTCGAATGGGAAACTATCAGTTTTGGGGCTTCACTATACCGTTCCCAAAGATTCCTGACACGTCTTAGGGGGTTTCACTAAACCACCGAAGACATATCTCTAGATGAGAGAGTTTAGCCTACTCCTCACTTGGTTCTGGGCTCGCAGCTGAGGACGGCAGCTGGTCTTTGTCAAATGCGTTTGGGGAGTCCGAGTTGAGAACAACCACAGAAGGGCGACTTCCACTCATTGCCGACGAGGATCTTCGACCCAAGAATCGGGAAGAGCGCCGGCTCCCTTCACGGGAGTTTTCCACACGCCCTGGGCGCGGACAAAAGCCGTCGACTTGAGCTGGTCCAAGAGTGTGGCGCCTATGCTATTTCATTGGGTCATTCCATCTGGCCCATGCGAGTGCCGAGGATCACAAAAAAAAAAAATGACAAACTTGATGGCTGTGGCCACAACCACGTCACGCATTTGGATTGGCAATGCTACGACAAAAGCGACAAAACTTCTCACAGGTCATAGGATAGCAGCAACGCAGTGGCATGGTTTTATGAAACAACTTCACTCTTGACATGTGGTGCACCTTCTCCCTTCTAGAAAGCAGCGGGTCGCGAAAACATAAGGCTGTGGCTTGTAGCATTGATGGACATGTGACCAAGAAAGGCTCTTTGGCTGCCTGCATGTTCCACTTGCTTCTGTAAGGCTTCATCTACAACACCTCTTTCCGGGGTTTCTTGGCACCCTGCAAGTGCCGAGCGGCATGGGCGTTCATGTGAATGAATGCGTTGAAATGCGCGTTGTGCAACGCAATCTGTCCGAAGCCAGCGTCCACAACCTGCAAAGCTTCGAGCGCCCGACCTCGAAAAAGGGCAACCCATCGAATGTTTCTGTGTAATTTGTTTCCCATCTGCGTTCGCAGAACTTTCGCAAGCCTGTAAACTCGCAGAGATCCGGCAAGGAGGGGACTGGGGCTAAGTGTTGCCTGCTGCTTTCCAAATCTTCTCTGCGCCACTTTCATTGAATCATCAGCCACTGCTGCTGTGCCCTGGCAACATCTCAGTTCGTAGATCTTGCGTTTGAGGGGCGGTGGCAGCAGGGCAAGGCGCCAGTCAAAGGCTGACTCAGCATTTTTAAAATGTCACAGCCAAAAGTGTCCTCTCTCTCTTTCCCCTCCTTGCTTTCACCGTGTTCTGGAAACTTCCCGAACTACTGCAAGGCGAGCCTTGAAAAAATGGTCAATGTTGTCATCGTTGAGCGATGCAAGCGCGATGCCGTGCCCGTCCAGTGCGGCGTCATTCCTCATCCGCAAATAGCCTCGGGCCGCAGGAAACCAAACGGAAATCATGACGATGGAGCGATAGCAAGAAACCGCTGCAGCGGTATCTCAGGTTTCAAGTATACAACGTGATTTGCCCAGCGCAAAATGCACCCAAGGCCCGTGCGATCCCTGTGTGGGAAATAGAAGGCCACCAGCGTGCCCGGCTGAAGTTTGGGGACTGCCTCCGACACTCGACACTGATACATCTCACACGTACACCAAGTCCCCAAAAATCACACTGTTCTGAGGGGTGATCATGAGGCCTTACTTCGCTTCCAGGTGCGTAAAAACTTGGGACACATAGGCCACTGGCCAGCGCGTTCTCCCTCGAAACCAAGTGACTAAGTGAGCTCAACTGTTCTAAACACTCGAAGAGAAGCAAATCGAAGTTTCACGAAGGCCTTCGCTGGGCTGTCGAGGTTCCTTTTGCCCTCGCGTTTTCGCGGCTTGAGACATGGGTGTGCTTTCGCTTTTGCGGCAGGAAAGCCGCAGGCAAACAGGCCCTTTCGCAGCCCTTTCGCGAGCACGTAAATCATAATAAGCCCCTTTCGCAGCCTTCCGCAGTTTAGGAAGCAGCAGCTTTTGAAAGCGAATTCCTCCCCAATAATGTCAGAACGTCACTAAAGTGTGCTGACAGACAGACCCACTTTCGTCTGGGGTCGATTTCAATGTGCCCCGCTGAAGCAGCATGTCAATGTTGTGCAGGTCGGTCGATTGAGAATATTCGACAGCTATTGAATATCCCGTGCGAAACACATCAACGTGGTGAAGCATGAGCCTAGGAGCTAATTGATTTTTTGACGGAATTGATTCACCTTTTCCCATCAAAGTCCTCAAGTAGAGGCAGAAACACCCAATCAACACCTGAAGGAAAAAATACGGAATAAAGCCCTGCGATGGTCCAAGAAACATATCCAGCAGTCCAAAAGAATCAAAGGATTGCTTCAACATTGCGCTTCTGGCATCCAACTCACCGCAATAAGCAGTTCAAGATAAGTCCACGGTCATTGTAGAAAAGCAGCCATCACGGAAGTGGGAATGAAGAACCAGCTACGCCGAGTATTTATTGTCTAGCTCGACTCGCAACATGTCCAGCTTCCAATTAGCTGTGCAGGCAAGCAAGGGTAACACTTTTCCCTGCATCCGTTAGGGGTGCTTACAAGCCCTGGAACATCCTGGGTGCTTTGCGGCAAAGAAAGGCGCACGCCTTCTGTGGCCCATTTCAACTCTTCATGGCCAAATGCTGAAGCAAACTATTGCATTTGATTCAATGACACGAAATGAACATCCAAACGTCCGTCTGAAGGAATACACGCCGGTCATAGCAAGTAGACATGTATATAGAGAATCCACAACGCAACCCAAGCGAGGGCCCTCCCTCTTCAATATCCCTTTGATCATGGTGCATTTTAGCATAACAGGGGCGCCCAGTTGTCTCCACCTTCAGCATAGCCATCAGTACTGGAAAGAAACATTGCATTGTTTCGCACCCACCCGCAGAGCAAACTACCCCCACCACTCAACCTGCTGAGAATTAGTAGTTTAGTCATTCCCAACCCCTGTCGAAAGCACTCACAAGCGGCTAGATGCAACCGTCACTTGGTCAGAAAAGCAAGCCAGAGTCCGACTTGATTCCGAAAATCCGAAACACGAAAGGCCTACCTGAAACCGGATCTTGGGAAGCATTTGAGAACGAGTCCATCGGCCTGCACGATTGTGAAGCGCTCAGGGTCACCCGTCTCGGAGCTCGTATCCTGCAGCCATTCCCATGCCTAGGTTTTGAAACATCCAGTATGAATTCTGTTCAAGCCTGGGAAGACTACATATTCACCTTGGCACCAAACATCACCAAACAAGTCAATTGCCCCGTCCATCGTCGAGTCGGACATCCGGATGAAGCGATTGAAGTTGTCTTGATGGATGGTCACCACACCGCTGCCGCCATCCCTAACTCGGAACTTCTCCCAATCGTACATGTGCCCTTGGTTCTTGAGGTCCTGCGGGCCAAGTCGACTCGCCCTTGGAAGCTGGGACAAGCGAAAGGCAAGTCAGATCCCTCTCAAGTGCTTCCCGGAATCATGCAAACTGTAATCAGAGCTGTGAGATTGGCTCCCAGGAAAATCAAAGAGCAGTGCAGCAGGTATTTGCGGTTAACAGCTTGCTCTAGACCATCCCTCAAGTGCATGGGCGTATGCTTGGAGGCTTTTCAAGTTGCGCAAGCTGCAGAACTCCCTCACAGCCGGTCCTGATTCTCCACCATGAACCACCTTGGCAAACACGCTCCTTCCTGCTAAACAGCACTCCCCTGCTGGTTAAGTGTTACCTCAGCCTATCGCCCGACTCCCTTGAGGCCAACATGTGGGTGGCTCAAGTTGTCAGTCTGCCCTCTTTAGGAGATACCGGTGAATACGTGCCCAACCTGCTGCCCAACCTGCTGGATTCAACCGTCCTTCAAGCGTGTTCAGCTGGTTTGCAACGACATCTGGAATAAGAAGTGAACTTGGCCCTTGGTTCGGTTCCTCCCCCCTCCCGCTGCTTCCAATGCATGCAACATGCCCTCCATGACTCATGCCAAGGCACTTGTTGTACTTCAGGCACTTCAGACCGATCCGGGCTTCACCCCCATGTTGCACCACGAAGCGCTCTGAGTCCCAGCCATCTGGCAGATCACCCTCAGGCGCCAAACCTTTTAAGAATCAGCTCAAGTTTAAAATTCTAGAATACCCGTGGCAACCCAAGCTTCAGACCCTCCTCGCCAAGGTTTGCTCTCACCAATTTCTGCCAGTCTCAGCGGCAACTCAAGAACGCCTTGATTCAGACACTAGTTGAAGCAATCACTGAGAGGGCATCATAGTCCAGGCACTGTCTTGCAAATCAAACCTTAATGCTCTTCATTTGCAAAATTATGTGCAATGGACACAAAGCTTGACGGCGTCATTCGCCCAGTTGCGCGGTTCTTCCTGGCACTTCGCGTCAAATCGCTCGTGATCATCTTCACCTGAGTACAGTCTTTGAATGGCTGTTCCCTGTGCTGGGCTCGTTGCTGTGCTATTGAATGCGATTGGCGATAAAGTGGATAGCTCCGTACAATGCCAACTACAATCATTTAAACAAATGCATATAGCATAAGATAACACGACACAGCGCAATACAAGCACACATACAAGCACACATACAAGACAATACAATACAATACAATACAATACAACACAATACAATACAACACAATATGATTCCAAACAAATTAGGATACATTACAATACAACATAACAAAATACAGTGCGGCAATATAATACAATATCGTGCGGTACGATACGGTACGATACGACACGATACAGGTACAGTACACTACAAGTACAACATCATTCAATATAATACAACACCATACAATGCAACAGAATACAATGCAATACAATTAAAATACAATCTAATGTAGCACAATACAGTAAAATACAGTACAAGACAAATACAATACAATCTAATATAATCTATGTCCCACAAGATAAACAGTGAATTATGCTGACAGAAGAGCTACTTGCCCAAATCAAGAAGACAAACACCAAACTAAACACGATCCGAAGTCACACCCATATTGCTGGCCTGGTGCTGATGCGGCAATGACGCACTTCTGGATGGTGTTACAGTGTGTGGGCTTCGTGCAGTTCACTTCTGCGCTTTAGTTAGAAGTACTGGTTGTCCTTGATTGAGCATTGGTCGAGACCTGAAAAAAACCGTGGGCGAATACAAAAGTTCTGCTCCCCAACAAATGTAAGCCATGAGACTGAACTATGGCTGCCATGCTGCCATCCGCTGGCCCACTACTCAACTGGAACCTTCACGTTTCTTTATCATTCGTGTTGCTCTCTAAATGTGAGGGGCCGACAGCTGAGTCGTGTCTCTGACGGTAGTAAAATCATGCTGACAACTTCCAACACCAAAACATGTGTGTTTGTGTGTGTGTGTGTGCGTGTCCGCACACATTGCACAAATGAAGAATGTGTTCGACAGGCCACGCTGAGGAATTGCGCCGGTGAATACCCATGCCGAAAACATTATTGTCGTTCGGCAAACTGAAGGCAGAGGCAAAATGTTGGACACGTCTCAAACAACCAAAGGAATTCAATGTCTCAGGTGACAAGTAAAATGCCGCGGACCTCGTGGGGCAGGCCAAGGCACGAAACGATTGTGGACGCTGTTGTGCAGGGCGATCGTGGCACCAACCAGCATGTACTGCCCGATGCACAACGTATCAAATGTCTCGCAACGGATAGGGGACCCAACTCGCCAATCATCCGAAAACTTTCCACAGCCATCCAGCAACGGGTTCGGATATTGGCAAAGGTCGTGCCGAAGCAGTCAAGTCCTCTCAATTGAGAGGGATGGACTATCTTGAGTGCATTTAGAAGCCTGGAGCGAGTCCGTGGTGCTGGCTGCAAGGAGCGGTCCTTCACTACAACAAAAGGTTCAAGATCCATGATACGCACCACCGGGCTTTAAGCACTGGTGTCTAAGGCTCAACCATGAGGTAGCAGTGACGTCGTCATTTCCGCCAAAGCCCGTCAGAAACAGAGAGAAACAGAGCGAAACCTGAGTGCCATAGCTACAGAGGCATCGTCACTACATGTCATTTGTTTTGGCTGGGAGATTGTGCACCTCGAAGAAATGAGCAATGGGAATCGAAAATTTGCCCCCTGCCCTGTTCCGACTTTTGTCCGCTGGTTAGGTGGGCAAGCAGTTATCCCAAGCGAGTTGGAATCAGGAGCGCTTCCCTCCCCAGTTTCAACAGCGCGCAAATCAGCTCCCCAGAGCAACAAACTCATAACCAGGAGCACGGAGCCACGAATGACGACGAAACATGTTTTGCCGCCATGGAAACTTTGCGGAACGACCCACAGCGAATTGTTTTCCCAATCCTCTGGCCCAGAAATGAGGCGCGCCTTGCAATCGCCCTGCCAGTAAGGAGATCCTTGGCACGGCCAGCCGAAGCCCTCACAAGAGCATACCAGCCGCTGTGGCCACGAATGCAAGCATTCATGTCAATCTTGTCAATCTGAATATGCAATGGCTGGAGGCGGCTGGTGCATGGATTTGGGCCGCGCAACTGGGTCGTTAGGGGCGGCGGGGCTTTGTTTGGCGACTGCGGCGTGCAGCCACCCCGCTTCTTTCGACCCAGCGTATCTATGGCTTGGCTTCGCATATTAGCCCCAGCCCCTTTGCCGTTTGGACTTTTCAGCCCCCGGCACCGCCAGGCTGGCCTTGATCCTTCAAGGCCCCAGCCCCTTGCCCTTGCACTTCGCCGACCTTCTCTCCAGCCCCAGCCGCTAGTTCCTGGCCCCGTCCCCAGCCCCAGCTACGAAGTTCGCGCATGGGCAGCAATTCCACCCCCAGCCCTGCGGCTGGTTCTGACCCTTGAATCCATGTCATGCGAACACAAAGCCAGCGAAGCACATACTGGCCGAGAAGAAGAGTTTACAATTACAACGTCTTTGCTTGCCATTGTTTTAGGCTCTTGACGACACCAGGCAGCGCTGAAATAGACAGGCAACGTGAAACAAACTTCTGCGCTGAAAACGCAGCGCTACAAGCAGGCACAACAACGGAGCAAAGAGCAAACGAGGAAAGTACAAACGATTGAAAAAGAACGCAAGGAACATTGTGCAAATGAGGAGCTGTACAATCCGGACCGGAACAAATCGCAGGCGATTGTCCTGTAGCCGATTGATGCAGAAATGCCTTTTCATTGGTCACTGCACAAGCTTTCCGAACAACACCTGCGACGTGGTGCACAACCACAACTTGTCTGCCGACTTCAGTGCCGACAACAACAAAGAGAAGCAGCAGTGGCTTCACCGTCCAACAAGACAGCCCAGATGAACTGCTGAAACCACGACGCAAAAAAAGAATTCACGAATCTCTAAAACCCTAATGAAACGAAGGATCGCGGCCAACTCAGTGCAACGCCGCATCTATCTGGATGATGGATTCGTCAACCCTTCAGGATTGAAGCTTGCTTTTTTAATTTTATCTCTTGCCACACGACACCAGCTCACGCATCTGCAAGTAAGCGGCCGCTTTTGGCGGTGATGGACCCGAAGTAGCCGCTCCAGCAGTTGCATCCGCTAGGGATCTGCAAAGGCAAAATCAGAAACTTCGGCCAGACAAAGCCACAAACAGGCCAAGAAAGAGCGCAGGAGCTGCCTGTATCTTGCACTAGGTTTCACTGATCCGTGCTTCCGGCATTCTCTCTGAGGCTGTTTAAACATGTCCTTCCCACGTCGACCTCGAGCAAGCAAGCTCAACTACAACCAAAGAAAGCAGCAGCTGTTCTGCTCATCTGATTGAGGACTTGCCTGCATCTGATGCTGCACCAGCATCCCAGCACCACTCACCCCAAAAAAAAAGTCCCGACCTGATCAGTAAGGTTACCTCGTTCACCCCCAACTCGCATTCTGTCAAGGCGCATCCGTGCCCGTTGTCCACCCAGGGCAGGCTTCAGCTTTGCATGTTCCTTGCAAGGTCGGCGGAAAAGCTCTGGCTGCTCGGCTGTTCTGCTTGGGTAGCAAGTTGCAATTGGTTCAATTCCAACTCTGATCCCAAATTCCAACAACTCTGATTGAAAACTGTCTCTGTCCAATCCTTCGACACAGCCGGCCTGTGTAGTAAGGAGACGTGCTTGAAGCGGTGATGGCGCCAGAGTAGCCTTCACTCAGGCAAGTGACATTGCCGCTTGACAGGTAAGGCTCCGGACCAAACACGACAAGGCGGCACGTGGTTACGTGGTCACGTCGTTACGTGATGCGAAGGCCATGAAAGCGCGAGCAAGTCGAGCCGAAAAAGCCCCAATCAAACATCATGAGGAAACTGCATCCAACGGTCCAAATCAGAAGTTCCTCGACGCTTGGGATGAGCATCAAGGTAACAGCTTGCCGAATACTAAAAGGTTGATACACCGCATAATATTTGGATGAGCTAGAAAAGCAACAAGGGCGCTTCATCAAGTTGGGAAAGAAACGACAGCGGCGGTGCCTGTTACGCAGGTTCACATGCCAAACTTGTAGCAGTATCGTTCTAGCTTGGTTAAAATGCACCAAGCTGAAAAGAACCTGCAAACCAAACCTGCTTCACACCCAACGGGCCTGCTTTGCAGGTGCAGCCACCTGGCAGAATGATGCATGGAGTCAGCTTCTCTTTGCAACCAAATCCCTGTAAGCTCAATCACGAAATCTACCTAGATTGAGCCTCGTTGGCTCCCTCTCTCTCCCCCCCTCTCTCTCGCTCTCCGCTGGTAGCCTGCCGGAGTCAATTTCATTGGAAAACCAGCCAAGAAAAGCCGTGCTGAACAACCTATGAAGGGCCTTGAAACTCTTGCCCGGCCAGTTGCGCGTGGAGTGTAGACTGTTGATTCGGCAACTGACCGTTGATACGGCGCGTGGCCATGTCAAGGAGCGTGTTCTACCCGGGATGGGATCCATTCCTGGAATTCCAATCCCCAAAGATGGCTGGCCTGAGAAAGTGGTCACGCTGGCAGACAGCTTCAATTTTGCCCGGGCTATGTTCCCTGGAAGGAGGTGGTGGACCTTAGAGAAACACCGTTCGACAAGCCTGAGCCGGGGGGAAGAGATTGCAAAAAAGCCGTCATTCGTGCTTTGCCATGCTGGGTAGAACAGCTGCATGCACAGCTTGCCGCTACTCTTGGTGAAGAACGAAATAGTGTGCTTGTGCGCAAATTAAATCGTCGAGCTTTCGCAAAATCAAACATGATAGTCCTGCCTTGCTGGATCATATATGCTTTGGGTTTGTTGAAAATTAAAAAAAATGTAGTGAGGTATCGTCAATCAGACTGCAAGCTGGTCAACTGCCAACAGCCTCAAACCGAAAGTTCTGACAACCCTGCACTGCAAAGGCTGCATGTGCAAAATCGCAACCAGTGACCGACTCAAAACTGCCAGGGGCACTGACAACGTTAGTCCCAGTGGAGCCGGAAGGGCAAGAAACTTGGCTGCAGCAGCTCGCCTGAGAGTCAGCGGCAGTACATGACGGTACACCATTTCCGGTCGCCTGACTTTCCGCGCTTTGGCACAATGAAAGCATGCAGCGGAGGCCCTCACACAAACAAACTTGCTTGGCAATGTGCTTTTTGAGCGCAACTGCTCAGAGGCCCCGGGGCACGCAGTTATAAATGCTTTCGGCTGTGTGCCCGGGCCACGCTGCTTCCAATGGTGGAGGCAGACTTTGGCTGATAGCCTGGCAGCTCGGAGGTCTGCCTTCTGCTTGGCACGTCGGGGTGGGATGGCCAGACAGTTGGCAGTCATGTACTGGAAGCAATTCAATCTCTGCCTGGTTTTTAAACGTGACCCACCTATCCTCCAGCAATCTTGCGCCGTCGCAAGTGGATCTGCCTAGACCATTAAACTGCCTCTCCAGCGGGAAAGATCATGGCCAAGATCCTGATGCCCCCGAAGTAAGGTCGCAAGAAGAGTAAACGGAGTGTCAAGTTGAAGCATCTGAGCAGAACACAAACATTGCAAGATGACGAAAGGCAGCCAGGCAGATGGCTTGCAAGCATCTCGGTGAGATGCAAGCGGCAAAGCACGCTGCGCCTGCTGGGCAAGAGTAGCCGTTGCACTTCGCCTTGCTGCACGCCGAGGGGCCCTTCCAAGCCGAGAAGCTAATTACCCGAAGGGTCAAAGCGACCAATGCGAAGCCCAGAAGCCGCATAGTAATGCTACTTGTCACAGGCATCCTTGAAAGGTCTCCCTCAAACATCCATTGATCTTGAAACAGTGATGCAGAGCTGAATATTTTTAAAACCGAACAAAGCAAACATCCAATAGAGAGGAGTGTGGCAAGAAAGGAAAGCCCCGATGATTCCAAGGCGAGGTGGGAAATCGCACACCAAGGCTGTGCGTAAGGCAAGCGGTCATTTCTTGTGCTCTGCACCCTCCATGCATGCATACTCCACGTCAATGAATGTATATTGCTTGCAACTAGGAGGGCAGGTCTGAATGCAATTTGGCCAGTGGTTTTTAGAGTTGTTCATGTTGGGCCGTGAATATGGGGCAAAGCTCCTCGAATCCGCTGCATGACTCAAACAACTAAAACTTCCTAAATACGTACCTGAAGCACACAACTCTGGCGCAACCCCTCGTGAGAACAAATATGGCCGTTTGTCTGAGCATGCAAAGGGGCAAGGCGTGTTGCTGGCCGGCAGGTTCTTAACACGACAGAGAACATTTAATGTTCTCTGTCTAACCTCTCCACTTCTAGCCCCTCACGGTGCTAACCTCTAACTTCTCGAACCAAGGCAAAACAAGCTGACACATGTCTGAGGCTGCGTCCGGCGATCAAATCTTTCTCGGACAGTGAATTCCAAACATGATCCTGCTGCTTTGGCCAGCTTGTGATCGTCCATGCCAGAGCTTTGCTAAAGATGGCCAGCCAAAAAGATTCCGACAGAGAAGATAACAATCATGAGCTCCAATAAACTATGGGCGAATTGCAGCTGCATGCAGAATCCAGCTAAATTTTGAATTGCCCTTCCCACGGACTATGTTGAAATCACACTCCCAGCAAAGGGGTTGACACGAGCTCTTCGGACAGAAAGGCTGTCCCAAATGTGGTCTCAACAAGACATCTGCCAGGAGGCTTGTGAGCAGAGCGCGTAGACCTGTCCGTCAAGGATCATTTCAGAAGAATATGCTAAACGGAAGGGACAATTAAGCGTTGTGGCAATGTGGATATGTGATATGTGCGTGTGTAGAATATATATATATACATATTAGTGTTATTGTATATTCTAGGGTGAGCCCGGCCCAGCCCTGTTGCCCTGCAACGGCCGGAATGCAGGCGGCATGCTTGGTACTTATGAAGCGACAGGCATAACATGCTGCACAAGTTGTTGTTAACATGTTACAACAGTCTGTTCAATGGCGATGAAATGTTCCTGTGGCGTGCTTGACGCGAATGTCAAGTAACTCCGAGGCGCAAGGAAGCCCTCTTTTCAGGAGAGGAACCACAAACAACTTGACAACATGTTCGACACTTGAAAATATTCAAGTACATACCTGTGCGGTAAGCTGGGGGAGCAAACGAATAGCTTGCTTTTGTCCGTTACGCTAGCAGCAAATAGGCAACTCAACACCACCGTCTAGGGAGCACGGCGGCCAGCTACCTTTTGTCATCGGAAACCGTTTCCTTGGCAAAAGCAGCGGTGCTCGGGCTGTCAAATGCGTTTCCTGGACAAAGACAAGTAATGATTTGTCTTGAGCACCTGCTAAAGTAGACACCGCTCTGGTCGACACCTCTGGCATCACCAGTGTTGTAGTCAACAAATGCAAAAGTCCCCAGACTAAAGTGATTGACACCATTAGTCAAAACTGCGTACTTTTGCTTGCTACCAGTAAATGCCACCCCAGACCAAAGTGGTCGACACCTCCAGCACGACACAAAGTAGACACCACGCTGCGGGACCACGCTGGTTTTTAGACTAAAGTGGTCGACGCCTCCAGCATCACCAGTCTTTTAACACTTACTAAAAGAATGGCTTACGGAGAGGCACCGCTAGGCAGCTTCGGGAAGTGATGCCGCTTTCGCGTTCGGCAAGCGTTTGCAATTGATTGTTCATGCCCGCGAGCATCATTTGCTTGTCGCGCCCAAATCTGCTCCTGACAAGCTTTTGATAGAAGCTCTACACCTGTCCGGCCTTTAGCATGATCAACACATCCAGCATGCTCTAGCCAGTCCTTCCCGCATCAACTGTTTACAGACACTTTCCTCGGGCAAGAAACGGATGGAGAACTGCTAAAGTGTACGGAGGGATGTCCTGCTCACAGCTTCCGGCTCGTTTGCTAGAGGCTCTATGAGAAGATTTCGTGCAAGACCTGAAATGGAGGAGGTCTTATCATCACCGTTCCCTTCCGGCACGTGATCGAAATCATTGGCAGGGTAGAAAACAAGCCAGGAATACAATAGAAGCAAATCTAAGTGGGTTCGGGTAAATACGTAGGAACTCCCACAGCCGTCACACTCTCATCGAATGATCTAAGAAATGGGGGAAGAGGGAGCAAAAAGGGCACCAGGTTGTCCAAGCACAGAAGCTATCATGTACTCAAACATCCCACCTGACTGATGCAGTCCATGCATCACCCTGACAGAATCCGGGCCTGGATACCCTGGCGGCGGCGTGCGCTCGTGTAGCCTGAGCTGTCTGCGCTCGGCACACAGCTGGCTCCAAAGAAACGTCAGGCACTGTATGTCACTGCAAAGGGAGGCCCACGGCCTCGAGCCTCGCATCAAAGTTCCCGCTGCCTCTATTGCTATGCGTAAATGCTACTTACGGGCTGAAATACTGTTGATTGCCCGACCCATCCACCAACACAGCAGGCAAACTGAAGTGAATCGTTCAAACAAACTGAGCAACGCCGCATACGCGTATGTGAAAGCTTTCTGTGTGCACAAATCTGTGCAAACAGTTTGGTGGTAGTATTTGGTGGAAAGGATTGCCATCTTCGAACAGCATCCAGTTGAAGCAGCGTACCAAAGAAGCTGAAAGGCTGTTCTGCCGTGTAATTATTGAACTGCAGCAACACGCCTTCACTTGTGACCGTATTCAACCGGCCGCAAGGCGCGTTGCAGCTGCAGAAGCCATCCAACCAATGGACCAGCCAACTCTTGTTTGTAAAGAACGAGTGTTCAACATAAGCGCCTAGGTTGAATTCCCAAACAGGGTTGAATGACTTTGCAACATAATACAAACACTCTGAGCCTTCGGGCGCTCGCACTTGCCGTTGCTGCTTGGACTGAAGCTCTCTGATGTGGACACCCTCCTGTCAGCAACGGACTCAGCATCCGTTGAGTGCAAGCACAAAGACGCATTTGCCATGCCTCACAAGAGCGGATGTCCAGGCAAGGGCTTTCATCCGAGGTGCATGAATGCCCGGCCAGGGCATATTTACAAACCTAGCACCCTGCCTTACAAATGCCGAGCTGCATGTCATGTACAAATCAAACCCAACACAACATGATAAACATGGGGTGTTGGGACTCGAAACCAACCCTTGCCGCCAGTGCATGTGTCCGGATGTGTTTGGCTCAGGCAGTTACACGTGTGAAGCAAATTTGCTTTGCGTCGAGGACATGTGCAAGGATTGAAGCTTCGTGCCGCAATCTAGCACTAGCATGCGCACATTCCAGGGACAACAAAACATGATCTCTCAGTCGTGATCCTATTCTGAAACTAAGCCTCGATCCTTCGAGAACTGTCAAAGAGAGAGTCCTGAGTGCTAAGGCATTCACTTGGGGCTTTCCTCTGGACCCTGACCGATTGGATCCCGCTGGCCTTCGTTGGCTGCCGCTCAGGCATCTGTCGTTCACCCTCCAGGCCTTTCGCCAAGATCATGCGCGTTGAGTTTTGGCTGACAGGCCTGTGAGAGCAGCAGGACTGCCTCCTTTAGTTATTGAAAGGAAAAGCAGATCACTAGCCCATTTGTAGAGGGAAGCCAGCACACCGATTACTACCTTAGGCGGCCCTAGCCAGCTAGCTTAGCAGTCTAAACACAATCCTCCTAATCCAGAAAGTGGTTGCTGATGTCGTTGGGGGTTGTGTGTGAGAGAGAGAGAGAGCAACTCGCAACAAACAAGCTGTAGTTGCGGCTCCGGGTCAAATCTCACAATGCAAAAGATTTACCTAAGCTCTCTAAGTCTCAGATCTGCAGAATTGCCCTCCAGATGTAAAAAGAAGAAGCATATTTTATTTGGATGTCACTTCTCCTTCCTCATCTCTTCGTCTGTGAGCGACATCTCTTTCCCATTCATCTCTCTCTCATTATTGTTCCACGTCCTAAAGTAATTTCTGGATGATAGGATGTGGTTGGGAGAGAGAGATGATGGAAGAGGTCAACTAACGCCAGGCTGTTACCAAAGGCTTGACTTCTTCATCCAAGTTCTCAGGGTCTTGCGTCCCAAGCTTACAAACGAGCTAACGAGCGGAGGAGAAAGGTGGACCGCTTTCTATCTCTCATGTCCACCTTCGTCCAACCAATTCTATCTCTTGGTATCTTCGCCTGGCGGTGTAATCCCAGCCACATCCTCACCCTTCCGTCTCCTGGCCGTTAATGATGGAAGGTGATAGGTGAGGATAGGACGAGACAAGCGAGTGGGAAGGACGGAGCGACAGAGCGGAGAGACAGAGCGGAGGGAATGAGAGATCCTCAGTGATACAAATATTTCTTGATTGCAACTGGTCCGTCCTATCTCTCCCGCATTCTGGATCTCTCTTCATGTGCGGCCTGTCCTCTCATGATCCAACCAAATGTAACTAGAAATGGTTGGGTGAAGATAGGAAAGGAAATGTGGGTCCCTTCTCTTCCCATTCCTTTCCACCGTCTATCACCTGTCTATCACTCACCTATTCACTCACGAACTTATTTTCATTCTTTGCCTAGGTGAGTGAATCGGAAAGTCTTTCGTGCGTCTCTTCTCTCCGCACTCGTCCATTCCCTGAGAGACAGATGGGATAGAGTTATTCCCGAGCGAACGAAGAGAGAGTGGAGAAGGGGAGAGACCCTAGACAAGGAAGAAACCAAGAGATGCCATCCCTTTCACCCAACCACCATTCTATGCTGTAGGTGAAAGGCATGTCCTATATCTTTCTCTTTTCCTCTCTTCACCCTTTCATTCGCTCGTGAGCCAGATATAGAAAAGGATGAAGAAGGAAAGGGACAAAGAGAGTGTGGGTCATCGTCTTGGGATTACACTGCCAGGCGAAGATACCAAGCAAAGAGATAGCGAGTGAAAGCGAGTGAGAAGCACGGAGCGTCAGAGCGGAGAGACAGAGCGGAGGGAATGAGAGATGGAGATAGGACGAGAGCGAAAAAAATGGCGCGAGAGACCACACACAGCCAAGCCGCTATGACGTGAGGAATAGAAAGGCTTGGAAGCAGGAAGGACATATATTCATTCCCTTTGTTCCAATTATCTTTGATATTATGTTATTATATTATCATACTATTCAATACAAGATAATAAATAAGATGAAAAGAGAAAATGGAATGAAAAGATATGCCAAATTCTAGAGAAGATCCCAAATGCAGATTTAATAATAGAATAGAATCTGTATTACTTATTTTTCATATTCTGGTATTATGTTCATTTACTTGTTTATTATATGTTTATCGTTTCTTCTCTTTTCCTTTATAGTTGACTTTAGGATATTCCCTCCGCTCCGCTTCCAACCGTGTAATTCCTGAGATGAGAGGCATATCCAAGTAAAGTATGATGAAGGATAATGAAGGATATGCCAAGCCTTTCTTTTCCCTTTATCTCTCAGCTCCAGATCCAAGCATAGCTTCATGCAGGATTTGTGGCCAACAAACAGAATCAGCATCAGGTTTGACCAAATTGCAATCCCGAAACGACACTCACTGCACGGATATTCGGGAAAGTAGTACATTTGCACACGTGTGGCCATGGCCAGCCCAACACCTTGCGCTCAACCCACCCCCCCGACCCAGCACCGGCGTGCCAGCCCTATTTGGCAGGCGGCTGTGTGGCAAGTGCAGCCAACGGCGTCGCCCGAGTCGCACCCCACTCGGACCAGGCCGTTCGCATAGCCGCCGCTCAACTGCGCAATTCCAGGGGACACCGCACTCACCACACTCACCGCTCACTGCGCCATGTCTCACTCTCGCACCTATGTCTCAGCTCACACGGCTATCTGGTAAAACTTGCCATGCACTTTGTGACACCCGGCAAGTCCCATTTGCACGCCGGCAAGAGTTCAGTCAAGTTCAGTCCGTTCAGTCCCATCCCCAGCTTTGTCTCGGGGTGTGTGAGTCAGGTTCAAGGCCCAGGAGCCCGACTATCGAGCTCGCGAGCTCGCGCCTTCGGCAAGGTCTCAGTGGTCCAGCAGTCCGCCTTGGCCTTCACCTTGGTGGACGCAGTTGTCCTCGCCTGGCAGGGAGCAATGCCAATGCTCTCAATCGTTTCCCTTGAAAACCGGAAATATATGGTACGATAGTGCTTCTGTCATTCTTTCTGCTTGCTGTGATCCTTGGTCGGAAAAGCATGAGCATGCGGCATCCAGATTCTTCGAAATCCGCCGACATTGCTCGGCGTGTCGGACACCTAAGAGAGGATAGAGGATAACCCCCCCCCCTAACCCCCCGCGAAAGCCCAAAGGACCGCGCGGCAGTTTGATGGCGTTCCACTAAACGTAGTCTTCGGGGACCCGGTGTCGCAAAACAGGGGTCCCAGGCTCGATTCCCCCTGCCGGCTTTTTTGCTGGCTTGGGCTTCCTGCATCCTTTTGCCGAAAATCTGGAAAAACTCTGTGTTTTTGGACATCATCTTTGCGAAAACGCTGGAAAAACAGTGTTTTTTGCGGGAAATACTGGGGAGCAAAGGGGAAGTGCAAGGATACATACATACATACAGACAGACATACAGACAGACATACAAACATACATACATACATTACATTACACAACATCACATTACATTACTTTAAATTACATCGCATTACATACATACATACATACATACATTACATTACATTACTTTACATTACATTACATTACATTACATTACATTACTTTACATTACATTACATACATACATACATACATTACATACATTACATACATTATACATTACATACATACATTACATTACATTGCATACATGCATACATACATACATACATGCAGGCATGCATACACACATACCTACCTACCTACCTACCTACCATACATACATACATACATTACATTACATTACATTACATTACATTACATTACATTACATTACATACATACATACATGCATGCATACATACATACATACATACATACATACATACATACATACATACACATACACACACATACATACATACATACATACATACATACATACATACATACATACATACATACATACACATTACATTACATTACATTACATTACATTACATTACATTGCATTACATTACACATTACACATTACATTACATTACATTGCATACATGCATACATGCATTACATACATACATACATACATACATACATACATGCAGGCATGCATACATACATACCTACCTACCTACCTACCATACATACATACATACATTACATTACATTACATTACATTACATTACATTACATTACATTACATTACATTACATACATACATACTATTTACTATACATACCTACCTACCTACCTACCTACATACATACATACATACATACATACATACATACATACATACATACATACATACATACATACATACATACATACATACATACATACATACATACATACATACATACATACATACATACATACATACATACATACATACATACATACATACATACATACATACATACATACATACATACATACATACATACATACATACATACATACATACATACATACATACATACATACATACATACATACATACATACATACATACATGCATGCATACATACATACATACATACATATACATACATACATACATACATATATACATACGAGAGAGGGAGATTGGGGAGAGAGTGGCTTGGGGGGATGGGGAGGATGGGGAGCGGAGGGAGGGAGAGAGGACGACAGAACACACCAGGGAGACAAGGGAGAGAGGAAGAAGGAGAAAAGGGAGAGGACAATGTCGGCGGACTGAGCCGGAGGCTCTAAAGTTGGCATGACATGCTCTGCTTTACCTGCAGCCTGTTGGTGGTCTTCGGGTCAGCCAGTTTGCCCAATTTCGGCTCTCATCTCGGCTGGCCTCACACTTCTTGCCCTGATTCGTCACAAAGGTGCCATCACCCTTGACGTAAGTTCTGCGGCGTCTGCGGCGGCCAGGACCTGCCAGGCCGTGCCACACCGTGCCGTTGCTCAAGCAATGCAAGCCAAAGGCCGAGCCTCATCACACTTGGCGTACTCACTGATCTGCTACCCAAACCCAACCGGCAACAATGGTACCAAAACACTTTTCTTTCTTTTTTTACGGATGCTGTGGAGTGTGGGCGAAGGCAATAGGATTCTGCTAATCACCCTTTCATCCAGCATTCTCTCAAACACCTCCCCCGTGAGTCCGAATGTGATCCTCCAACCCTCTGACGCTGCCACGCGAAATCTTCCGAAAATTGGAAGCGGATGGCAACCTTAACGTGCAGCGCTGGCAAGCCTGAGACATCGCCAATGTAGCACTTCTTCACCTGGGCTTGGAATCGCACGGCCTATTCCTTTTGACTGGCTCACATGCTCACCAGCTACCAGCTGCCGCCACAACGGGCTCCGGCAATTGAACGTCAATTGAGTCCACAAGTTTGTAAACATGCTCTCAATTGTCAACTTTCGAACGTTTGGGGCGTTGGCCGTCCACACTGCAACAAGCCCAAGTCATGCACCTGGTTTTGCAACGTGACATGTTCAAATTCTGTGTGACACCTTGCCAGCCAGCACCCATATTGCTTTTGCATTGCCATACCGAAGTTTCAGTGGCTTAAAGCTCCATCAAAACCCTTCCGGCCAAGCCTGCCCACACTAACTTTCAAGCATGTGTTTGCATCAGAATACACCACAAACCTGCACTCCTGCATTCTCCAGGTCCTCTGAAGGTGTCAGCAAGGCGATGTCTAGCACAACCAGGCACGAAAATGTCAACAGCAATTGAACTCTTTGGCGGCCCACTATAAAAGCAATGTGTGCATGACGATGCCAGCACACATCAAAACCTGTTATTTTGTTGTATAAGTGGCTTTCTGGACGTTGCTTGGGAGACATGTGGCCCGAGGCAAACAAAACACAAACCCTCCTCCACCCCCACTGGCGCCGAAGGCAATTTGGTCAACATTCAACAGGGTCACCAATCGAAGGGTCAAAGGGGTGAGTCAGCCCAATGCTTTTGAAACAAGCCAAACTAATTATCCGTGCCTCTTCTGAAAGCTTGTTCGGGAATCTAAAAACTGTCACGGATGACTAGACTAGCCCAAAAGTCCAAGAGAGCTGCAGCGAGCCGCTGCGTGACATGGCATCGCCAAAAGCCTCTCCAAGCACAATGCAACGAAACGTCAAGCCCACTGATGCAGCAAAAGCAGCCCACATGCCGCCCGGGCAGTTGACCTTGGATTCCGTCGTGACGTTCCAACAGCGACAGCCATGGGGTCCAAGCCAATCCGCCAATCTCGGGTTGGGAGCTTTGCCAGCGCATGTGCATCAACGGACTGCTTGTGTTGCAAAGCAAAGCGCACCCGTTGTGGACACCACTCACTGCACACATGGATGCCAATTGAAAAGGAACCCTGCACGAGAGTGTGCGGAAGGCACTGCACACATACCTGCCAAATGAGAAGCACGCCCAAATGATAAGCACACCCCGCTCAAGAGCGCGCCCACACACACACACAGCATGCAAATCCTCGTTTTCGTTGATCCCTTCAATTGTCACTGGTGGCTTGGCTGCGCACTGAATGCGTTGCAAGGGGGGCAGTTCCCCCTCAACAAGCGCTTCAATGCATGAGGCAAATCCAGGTGGATTAGCTGACGTCTGATGGGATTGTCAATTTCGCGCACAGTCGCAAGCAAAAACGCCAGGCCAATCAGTAGGATGGACTCCACAAGCCCATCTACACCAGCTTGTCCATTTGTAGCACAACGGCAAACTGTCGCCACCAATGTCTCAGCAAAGTTTGACTACAGTTCCCTTTGAGCCTCGACTATTCGATAGCTTGTGTGTGTGTGTGTGATACTTTAGCAGCATGTTGATGCTTGTGAGAAGTTTGGACTCTGCATGTGTACTGTGTGTGTGTGTACGTGTGTGTATAATTATATGTGTATGGTTGTGGTGTCATGAAGATATGCACGTATATGTATGTATATATATATATATACATACAACCATATGTACACACGTGTTGCCATATATTGTAGGAAGTTTGCAGAACGTGAGGATCTCGAAGGTTCTCACGTAAGGCAAATATCATTAAACTGTTGCCAACCAACAATGCCACCACAGGCAAGCGAAACACGTTGTTTCTACTCGTGCCGCACACCTTTATGATCCAACACCAGCCCACTGCACCAGGCGGCCGAGACTGTGTTGTCATCGTTGGAGCCGGACCATCCCGAGATGACCGTGTGGGCGTTCTGCGATGCAAAGCAGGGAAAAAATCAAGCAGAAAGGGCCAAGGGCTTGATGTCTTGATGCCTTGCCTTGACCCCTTGACCCTGAGGACCAGGCCTTGCCATTCAAAACGACAATGACAAAACATCACGTCCAGGTGACACATGATGCAATATCAGCCTGACTAGTTGTAGACATCAGGCCTCAATCCCAAAGGCGTGTTGCTGTCTTACCACGCGAATCATGCCAACTTGCCGTTGGTGCGCTTGTCATTCATGATTGGGCCTCCCAATTTCAACACAAAACCGCACCTTGCATGTCTTGTCCACGAGAGCCCAGCCGGTGTTGCAAGAGGCGCATTGGTTGTCGGCCTAGGAGCTGCGCAGCACAACGCTGTCTGATGTCCGCAAGGCGGAGGAAAGCTTGACCAGTGCCACAATGCACAACGCATTAGAGCTAAACTTGCTGCATAACAGTGCTCCTCACTGAAACCTATGAGCAAGGAGACTGTCGGTGATGTCGACTGAAAGCAGCTCCTCAACCTGTGTTGGTCCAACAGCAGTGCATTGAAGCCTCAAGCTTGAGTGCCAAGCGACCCAATGAGCGCCCACTACCTTTTGAGATCAGCGTGCCCCGGCAATTGCACTTTGCCCGTGGCACTTGCGCTGCCTGATTGGCTTTTGGCATGTGTTCCAACATCCCGAATCCCAATACCGCACCAGAGTGAAGCCCGAATCCCGAAACCCGCTGTGATTAAATCCCGAACATGTGATTCAATCTCAAATCCTGAATCCCGAACATGTGACTTAATCCAGAAAATGTAATCAAGTCCCGAATTCCAAAACTGCGTGCGACGTCCGGATCACCACGCGATCCAAGCATATATATAAATACAATTTGTATCATAATGAACTATAATCATAATAATAATAACAATAGCAATAATAATAACAACAATAATGATAGAAAAAACATCAACAACAACAACAACAACAACAACAACAACAACAACAACAACAACAACAACAACAACAACAACAACAACAACAACAACAACAACAACAGCAACAACAGCAACAACAAACAAACCAACAAACAAACAACAAACAAGCCAACAAAGAAACCAACGAACAAACAAACAAACAAACCGACCAACAAACAAACAATAAACAAACCAACAAACAAACCAACAAATAAACCAACAAACAAACCGACCAACAAACAAACAACCAAACACACAAACAACCAAACACACAAACACAACAACACACAAACACAACAACACACAAACACAACAACACACAAACACAACAACACACAAACACAACAACACACAAAACACAACAACACACAAAACCACAACAACACACAAACCACAACAACACACAAACCACAACAACACACAAACCACAACAACACACAAACCACAACAACGCACAAACCACAACAACGCACAAACCACAACAACACACAAACCACAACAACACACAAACCACATCAACAACAACACACAAACCACAACAACAACAACAACAACACACAAACCACAACCACAACAACAACAACAACAACGACAACGACAACGACAACGACAACAACAACGACGACCACAACAACAACAACAAAACAACAAGAACAACAACAACAACAACGACAACAACAACAACAACAACCACAACAACCACAACAACAACAACAACAACAGCAAAAACAACAAAAACAACAACAAAAACAACAACGACAAAAACAACGACAACAAAAACAACGACAACAAAAACAACAACAAAAACAACAACAACCAACATCAACAACCAACAACAACAACAACAACAACGACGACGACGACAACAACAACAACAACGACGACGACGACAACAACAACAACGACAACAACAGCAACAACGACAACAACAACAACAACGACGACAACAACAACAACAACAACAACAACAACAACGACAACAACAACGACGACGACGACAACAACAACAACGACGATGACAACAACACCTACAACAACACCAACAACAACACCAACAACAACACCAACAACAACGCCAACAACAACACAACAACACCACCAACAACACCACCAACAACACCAAAACAACACCACCAACAACACTACCAACACCACCACCAACAACACCACCACCACCACCAACACCAACGCCAACACCAACACCAACACCAACAGCAACAACAACAACAACAACAA